CAAGCCCCTGATTCTTCCTCCCACTTGGGGGTCATCGAACCTGGTGACACAGCTTCTTTGGGCTTACCAGAGGATGAAGGTGACAGTCTCCTACTTAGTGGGCAAACGTTCATCTGGTCTGTTTCGAGAGCTGCTGTTCAGCTGTGGTCTCCCATCCAGAGAACTCCCGAGCGCAGCTTTCAGAGAATAAAACTCCAGGCTTCTCCCAGGTGGGGGGGATTTGACCGTCCTGAGCTGGGGAAGACATCTAAGGACTGATTCCCGTTTTTCTACTCTGTGTCACGCCGGTCTAAAATTCATCTTCGGCAGACTTTCACCCACTCCTACTCCCTTGGCTTTCCCACCCCTCTGACTTCAGCGAGCCCCCGGTTCACTCAGCCCTAAGCCTCTTGGGAGGACAGGATGCAAACCGTTGTTGGCTTTTCGTCTGCTGCTTTCGTTAAATTCACCTTTCTTCCTCTTCGTTGCCCAATTTGGTTGCTGTAGTCTGTTTTCCTTTTTTCTTCTTATGGGTTTTTCCTTTTGAACATTTAAAGTGGGCATGCTGGGGGGAGAGGGTGGGGTGGGGAGGGAAAGCAAAAGCATGTGTTTAAGCTATCACATTTGACCTGAAACGTTTGAAGACCACGGGTCATCGTCACCAACAGAAACTGGTTCTTGTAGAGAACACAGATTCTCTTCCTCTCAAACAGTTGTCAGGGGAGGTAGAAAATGATAGCCTCTGACCCTCTATCCCTTGTTTAAATAGTCTTTTCTGTATTTGAAGGCAAAGGAGCTCTTCTGAATGCTGAAGCTAATTAAACAGAAATCAACAAAGTATTCCAAGAACATTCTATATTCAGCCATCCGTGGGACTCACTCTGCTAGCCAAAGTACTTTGCTCAAAAAGTGTCAGACGGTGTCCAAACCACGTCAGAAAAACACACACACCTGCTCACACACACGCACGCGCACACACACACAACTGGCATTACTCTAATTGCCACCGTGTACAGAATACATTGTGAGTAAAACAAACGATTTGATTTGAAATAGAGCAGTGAGTTTTTACTGCAAAGTTGGCACCAAAAACCCCCGGAAAACAGAGAACCATTCTCTCCTAAATATGCTCCAATCTCAGGGACAGCGACAGATTGGTTGTGCTTGTCATAAAGGCTGCTTTATGATTTTACATAAAAAAGCAAGCCGGGCATGGGGCACACGCCTGTAGTTCCAGCTACTCAGAAGGCTGAGGCGGAAGGATCGCCGGAGCCCAGCAGGTTGAGGCTGCGGTGGCCGGGAGCAATCACTGCACTCCAGTCTGGGTGACTGAGTGAGACTCCAACTCAAAAAAAAAAAAAAAAAAAGCAAGCCTCTGTTCCTGTCTTCCTGCAAACAACTCGATCACAACTCAAAAGGAAAGCCGCCAGCCGGCTGGGCGCACAAAATGCTGCCTTCTGCTTTTCAGAGGTAGTGGCTGGGGTGGTCCATTGATCAGATGGAGAGAGGGTCACGCAGTGGGGGATGGAGAGGACGGCACTAGCCACAGCAAATGAGCTTGGATCTCAGATGGACCCTGATTAGCGGGGCCCGGGGCTGGCCACCCACGGCTCCTTCCCCTCTGTGGATTGGGGCGAGACGTCACGGGGCACTTGGAGGATTCAGGAAGAAAACACGCACACTTGCACAGTGCCTCGCCTGGCACGGAGCAGGCACACCCCCGTAATAAAACCCCCGGAGGAAACACCGTCCCAAGGACTCCACCACTGCATGCGACACAGACAACAGCGTCCTCTGCCGTCATGGGTGGGCTGGCAGGCGGGGCGAGCCCTGACTTCTGGCCGGCCGAGGTGGGGAGGCCCAGGACGGGCGTCCAGGCCCAAACTGCACCTGCTGCCGGGCAGTCCAGCCTATTTGCTGTGAGGCATCCCTCTATATTGTGGCATCAATAAAGCGAGGCCTGGTGCTCATGTGCTGTGAAGGTTTCATCCGGAACTGAAGACAATTATTCTGAAATCGTTCAGACATCCCACATCAGAGGGACTCGTTTCTCAGTCAATGAGGCAGAAGGAGCAGCCGTGAGGTCCTGCAGGTGCTCCTGGGAGGGAGGAGGGGTAAGGGACGAGGGATGAGGAGCTATGAGGGGCCACGGGGTGCTCCCAGGAGGGATGAGGGTTGAGCTGCCGTGAGGTCTCGCCCCGCTTGCTTTCCCAGTCCGTGCATCAGCCTTTACCCAGATATTGCTTTGACAGTCACCGCCCAGCTTGCAAGCCTGGTCGTGGAAGGCACAGTGCTCGGCAGAACAGAACTCTGTTTGCAGAGGAAGGCTCTCACTCCCGCCCTCGGCAGGCCCAGGAGTTAAACAAGCTGCACATGCCTGAACCACGCCCAGCCTGGGGGTTTACCATCTCATAACAACGAAAATGGACTCTGGCCTTTCTTTCTTCTCAAGTACGTTCTGCGTTCTCCACTGACAAAATGCAAGCATGTTCCACAAGGAGACACAGCTCACCTTGGCGATGATAGGTGGTGCCAGGGAGCTGTGGCCTCAGGAAGCGACAAGCGTGTGTGGCAGGGTCACATGTCGTTTCTTTACTCAGGACCAGCACACTCTTCCAGCTTCCAGGAGCACTCTTGCTCACAGCAAACTAAGAGGCAAGTCCTCGTTGTGGGGTTTCAAGTTGTTGCCATTATCACTAAATAGAATCAGTTTAAGGCTGGGGCAGCGGCTCACGTCTGTAATCCCAGCACAATGGGAGGTCAAGGCAGGAGGATCACTTGAGCCCAGGAAGTCGAGACCAGCCTGGGCAACACAGTAAGACCTCTTCTCTACAAAGAATCAAAAAATCAGCCAAGCGTGATGGCACGGGCCTATAGTCCCAGTTACTTGAGGCGGAAGGATGGCTAGAGCCCAGGAGTTCAAGACCAGCCTGGACAACATAGTGAGACCCTGTCTCTACAAAATAAACTTCAACTCATAAAACAAAACAAAAAGGCACAAGCGACTTGGGAGCACCTAGCACAGGCTGGTGTCTCCACAATCCTGTTCTGTCTCCGTTGTTCGCCCCGTAGGACACGCTGGGCGTGGGGCACACAGGCGTTCTCCCACACACAGGGCTTCTTGGATTCAACATGGACTCTGAATGATAGAACTGCACTTCTTAGCGTTGCCGTAGACAGGTGTGGTTCGTTAGTTATTAATAACATTTCATTTTTCAGTACGAAATTTATATCGTCCAAGTTGAGCTGGACAGCCCCATTCACACTACCCAGTTGAAAATGCTTTTTATTTATTCTTGCCTTAACCATGCACAGGAACGCCACCTGACAGAGTGTGGTGACGCACCTTGATGTCACCTCATTACTCTTTCTGGAAGACACCACCTCCTGGTCACAGTCACCACCTCCCTGTCTCCTTTCTAAACATTTATCATTTGCTTCATTTTCTGGGGGCATTTGTGGAATTCCTTAGTCTGTGGATATTAAAAGCATAAAACTCCCTCCATTTCCACTCTGTAAAAGTCCGCTGGGGCTGCAATTCTCAAATTGTTTCTCTAGAGCAGTTACAAAACGAGAGCCTGAGGAAAGAGGGAATTCAGCACATTTCTATGCTATGCTGTTCCCTGCCGTGCGGTCACCCAGACACCCACACTGTGCTGGGATTCAGGAATTGATTCAAGGAAGGGACATGGTTTTAGTCTTGTGAAAAGGATCATGGGAGTAGAGTAGACTGATGGGAGGAGCGTCTTAAAAGCAAACACACGTTGCTTTTGTTAGCTACGTAGAGTGTTGTGAAAACTTGGTCCACAGTTCTCTAAAATGTAGAGAGCCTAGACACACGTGTCTGCTCACGAGTCATTCATGGGGGCATGGGAGACATGTACATCGAGTGCTTACCTGCTGCTTGCCAGGTACATACGAGGCACAGAAATACATGATCTTATGTGATACTTGAAACAGTCCTATGTCCTGTAGCTATCCTTATTTTCATTTTACAGATAAAGAAACACTCATGCCTATAATCCCAGCACTTTGGGAGGCCGAGGTGGGAGGACTGCCTGACCCCACGGGTTTGAGACCCGCCTGGGCAACTTGGCGAGACCTCGTCTCTACAATAAATCAAAAATTAGCCAGGTGTGGTAGTGCGTGCTATAGTTCCAGCTATTTGGAAGGCTGAGGCGGAAGGATCGCCTGAGACCAGCAGGTTGAGGTTGTGGTGGTCGCGAATGTGCCACTGCACTCCAGCCTGAGCGACAGTGTGAGACTCCAACTTAAAACAAAACAAAAACACCAAAGCAAAACAGATAAAGAAATATAAGAGCAGCGAGAGTTTGAAGAACTTGCCTGGTCCACACAGCCAGCAGGTGCCAGAGGTGTATCTGGCTTTACACTTTTTTTGCTTTAGATTTGGGGGTCGGGGTGCAGGTTTGTGGCATGGGTGCATTGCGTGACGGTGAGGCTTGGGCTTCCACTGAACCCACCACCCCATAGTGAGCGTGGCACCCAATAGGCCATTTCTCCCCCTTGCCCTCCCTTCCTCCCCCCTTAAGGGGTCCCCATGTCTGTCTTCAGCTGTCCATGTGTGCCCAGTGTTTAACTTCCACTTATAAGTGAGAATGAATGGTGTACAGTGTTTTTGTTTCTGTATTGATTCACTTAGAGTCATGGCCTCCAGCACCATCCATGTGGCTGCAAAGGGCATGTTTTTGTTCTTTTTTATGACTGTGTCATATTCCATGCTGTACACAGAACACATTTTCTTTACCGAGTCCACCGCTGATGGGCACCTGGGTTGACACTAGGTCCTTGCTATTGTGGCAGCACTGTGAGGACCATGCGTGTGCGGGGATCGTTTTGGGAGGACAATTCATGTTCCTGTGGGTCGATACCCACTTTGGTATCATGACATGAAACTTGGCAAAGACTCTCAGAACACTGGTCACCCCCTGCAGCCATCGGCCCACACCGTTTCTGATGTGGTCCTGGAACTCTGTGGTCTAAGAGCCGTCGCGAGCACTCACAGCTTATGGTTATTCCGAGCTCCACGTTGTGCCTCTTGGGAAGCTTCACATGAAATGTCCCGCTGCTCGGGATGACGGACTCTGCAATGTCAAAAGAGAAGGGTGTCAGCAGGACCCTGGGGGGGTGGCGTGCCGCCGTGAAGAGGCTTCTGGGTATCCGGAAGCTGCGGTGACAGCTGCCTGTGGTCTCGTTCACTGAGCTCCTGGGAGGACACACAACCCGCCATGAGTCCTGCGCCCCAATTTACCTGGGGTGCAAGTTGGAATGACAGATCCCCGAGTCACTCCAGAACTAGGGCGTCAGCCTCTAAGGATGGGCCAGAAGTCCGTGTGTTACTTGTGGACTTAAGAACCCAGGTCTGGCTACTCCCCCCTCTCAATCTCATTTTCCCAGACTGTGCCGTTTATTTTTTCTCATTTGTTATTGGAAGGTAGCTAGGAAAACAGATTTCAGGAAACGCCAGCTTGGTGTGACGGTCGTTGACTGGGGGTGGGTGTGGGTGGAGAGGTGCCTGGATGTGTCGTGTAGACAGGGAGAAACACACTAAAGGGGCAGAACCAGGGGTGACGTTCAAAATGTTTCACAGCCAGCACGGGATTGGCCACAACCTACCAGCCTGGATGCTGGCAGGGTCAGGGCCCAGGGGCCCGGGAGGCCCTGGTGGTACCAGGAATGACGCTTGAGTTTCTGGGTCATGGGGAGCTCCCGCAGGTCCCAGACAGGAGCAGGGGGCCCAGGAACAGGGGAAGGTGGGCTCAGACATTGGCGGCATCAGCCAGCATGGAGGTGAGCTGAGGCGGCCAGAGAGAGCGAGCTCTGGGCCACCCGGGGGAGAGAGAGACAGGGGAGAGTTGAGCTGATATCACTGGGACCGGCTAACATTTGAGAAAGGAAGGGACTGCTGCCCACTCTGAACTACACGCTTCTTAAAATTCCCTGAGCAGTCTGGAAGCCCTCCAACGAGCGCTAAGGTTAAAGTGGAAATGCCCACCAGAGCCATAACGTCTGCTCATCCTGTATTGCTAATGATTGTGACCCTGTCCTGAAGACTTTGGCAAGAAGGAAAATAGGCTCCAGGAGCGAAGGAGACATCGGCAGAAGGGGGGCCCTGGGTGAGGGTGCTGAGTCACGTCCGGGTTTGACTCAAGGCGGGACCCCCAGCACACAGAGGACTCATGGCGGCCATGACGAGGGCAGAACCACTGAGGGCCCAGTCCCATCTGCTCATCACTCATTCAGCACATTGTGAGCCTCTGCACAGTGGAGGAGAGAGGCTTGGACCCGTAAAGAGAGAGAGAGAGAGAGAGAGAGAGAGAGAGGGAGAGAGAGCACTCTCTCCCTCATTCTGTCCCTTTTCATGGGAGACGCAGGTAGTAAACACTTTACAAGGCAGGAATCTGATCTTCCAACTCAGAAGGTTTCCACGGAGTGTGAAACTGGAAAACACAATGAAAATGGATTTCCCTGGGCCGGCAGTCTGGAAGGCCACCTGGGAACGGCCCCCGACAGGCCCTCCCGCCTCCGCTGTGTTGAGGCTCTCCCCTCTCTGCCCCTGCCTTTAGCGAACTCTTGCAGAGAGTGAGGGCGCCATCGTCCACCGCACTCTTCTGAATGCTCCCGTGACCTGGTGAGTGTCTCCGGCTGGACTCAGACTTTGGCTCTGCTGTGGTCTCAGCGAACACTATGACATGCCAGGAAGGAAACACTTGCATGCGTATTTGTTTACTTATTTACTAAGAGTCTGGACCCTTCTTCCCCTTTCCCGGCAGGACTCGAGGCAGGGAAAATTATTTCCTTGAGTACATTTCAAGACAGACCTGGGCAGGGAGAGAGAAACCCTGCAGGCACTTGACACTGGGGCCAGCTTTACTTCCGGCCTCTGGGGCCGCTCGCGTTCAGGCATCTACCTCCCAAATCCTTCTCCAATCCGCGCCCTTCCTCCTGACGTCTCCAGTTCCCAATCCTCCTCATCCTTGCTCTCCCAACAACAGAGGGCTAGCTGCCACCATCTTTTCACCCCAAAGTGACTGTTTGAGAATCTGGAATTTGCATGCAGCCTGGGCAGCTCAGGCCTCTGGCAGTGGCTGGGGTTTACCCGAGAGAGAAGAAAGAAGCGAGTGAGCTGAGAGCAAGCTCAAGGGCTAGAGGGAGCCTGGCGTGGCCCTGGGCGCCTGGACGTTGGCTCCGGTCCCTCCTGGCTGTGAAAGCCAGGCCGTGCGGCCCCCAAGTGCCCCTCCTCTGTCTAAGCCAGCTGGGTGCATCTCTGCTGCTGGCTCACGGACAGTGAAGAGGTGGCCTGGATCGAGTGCACTCCATGCAGGGATTGACAGGGACTCAGATGAAGCACCCCAGGGTCCCTGAGTAAGTCCATACACACAAAGCTCCACTCCCTGCAGCACTCATCGCTGGGCACGGTGGACCATGCCTATCATCCCAGCGCTTTGCGGGGCCCAGGTGAGAGGATTGCCTGAGCCCAGGAGCTGGAGACCAGCCTGGGCAATGTGATGGGATCTCGTTCTATAATAAATAAAAAAATTAGCCAGGTGTGGTGGCATGAGACTGTAGTCCCAGCTACTTGGGAGGCTGAGGCAGAAGGATCCCCTGAGCCCAGGAGGTCGAGGCTGTGGTGGCCGTGACTGTCTGTGTTCCAGCCTGGGTGTCAGAGTGAGACCTCAACTCAAAAAAAATTTTTTTTTAAAAAAGAAAGGTTCTCCATGCAAGGGGAGGAAGCATGTGGTGTGCGCTTGTATAGATTATGCATCCATCTGTGTGTATAACTTCTTGCCTGAGCTTCCATGCGCACACAAGGGAGGTCTTTGAATCATGATGATCTGGAGCAGTTACTATAGCAACGTCTTACTTTTATGCCTGTTTAATGCAGGGAACTTTGACCCAGAGGAACATAGTTAATGACACTAAGGAGATATGATCTCCGCCTGGAAGCCAGGAAGGGATCGCTTCGACCACCAAAGACGTGAAGCATCCCTAATGATAAGCAAACACCAACTCACACATCTTGATCCAGCTATGGCTTCATTTTAATCTTTAAGTGCCAACATGATTTATTTTATATTTGTTATTTCCCCCCCCTCTAATTATTTGACCAGGAGAGCAAAGGCACATTTAATTTGGGTCTTTGTAAAGAAACACTAGGAAAGAGGAAAAAGATCCAATATTTGGAAAAACAACAGGTTTAGAGGAAGCGAATGGAATCCGAGAACAAATGATGTTTATTTTGTTAGACTCCCATGCGGTTATTTTGCACTTCCCTGATTTTGTTTTATCTTTGTTAATACTATAATTAAAAACTTATTTGGGCAAACAAGGGCCGGCTTTTCTGCCCAAAGCGCTCGTTGCTGGCACGGTAAGCTCGCCACCGCGTTCCACTCCGTCAACGCGGGCACCCTGTGGGAACGGGAGTATCTAACTCCCTCCCACCCCCAGAGAAGGCGCCGGGCTCTGTGATAATGGCTGACCCCAGGGAGCAGATTTCCAGTGAGACTTCTTTCCACAACAAAACCGTATTATTTCCAACAGAGTTAAAGTAGACACGTCAGGTATTCATGACACAAGTGGTGGATTGGTATGTGCAAGACTGTTTCGAACAAGGCAAAATGTAAATTGTGCGACTGCTATGATTACAGCTTTAGAAAATTATATGCATGCGATGGGATTTTTGGTTAAGTAATATAAAAAACTTAAACTTACATGTATTAACACAAAAGGGCTATGGATATGCTCAATGTAAAGTTTCCATGAAAGTTACCATGAATTTGCGTATGTATTTGGTTTAAATTGCTTAACTAAAATGGCTCGAGACCTTTGTGGGTATGTGGAAGAACTAGATGGTATTTGTCAGGGAAACCAGGGTATTTGAATATCTACATTATTGTACCGAGTTTACCATTATTTGAAAAGGAATGCTTGTACAAATCTAGTTTTGCAATGTTACCTATCCATCCTGCGGGAGGACTATACCCAGTTAAGGACTTGTTTATTTAACCGGGACTGTAAGTATTTTTTTGTTTCTAAGCTACATTAGCAAAACTTATTTTTCAAAAATGTCCGCTGTGAATGTCAAAGTATATTCTTAAAGTATTTTTTACCTAATTGTAAGCTTTTTTTGAGAAGTCTTGTTTTATACTTGTTAAACTGAACACAATTTTTGATGTTACTTTTCGTACTTGAAATAAACATTTATTTTGTAAGAAACTAAAAAAAAAAGAAAGTTACCACGATGTTGTTTATAAATAGGGAATTAAATATTACCTCTTTAAAGAAATAGATTTAGGCAAAAATGGACTCATGGATTCATTGTCAAGCTTTTTGACCACTCTGTGTCACTTAGAATATTTACAAAATAGAGGTAATTTGTCTCTGAGACCCAAGGCTGTGGGAATTGACATCTGGGTACAAGACATTCCCGAGGAAGGGCCTTGGAGGATGGACAGGACGAGGACGTGTGGCTTCTTGCCATTACGCTCCTCTTTCCTGCCCCTTGTCCGGTAAACTGGGGCCTGAACACAGTGGGGTCAATGGATATAGGTCCTATTTTTCAGGAGCTTAAGTCTAAGATATTGAAGGGCCCGATCCACAAGTGCTAAGTTGCACATCAGCCTGCCCAAGCAGACACTCAGATGCTGCCACAGAGAAGGGTCAGTCGTGCTGGTCATTCCACTGCTGGAGTCCGTATGCGGCACGGGATGTCCCATCGTGCTCTGGCATTCGGCAGACCGCCTCCCCACCGCAGCAGAGGCAGAGGCCCCTGCTCTCACTGCCCCGTGCTGAGGGCATCTCCTTAAGGAGGCCGTACAGCAGGACACAGAGCAGACAGACTCCATGCTGACAGACCTGGTCTACCATGCGCTTGGCTGTAGGACCTTGGGTTTTCCCACTTGAGCCTCAGTGCCTCCCCCACTTTTTTCTTCTTAAAAAAAAAAAGTTTTGTAGAGACAGGGTCTTGCTATGTTGCCCAGGCAGGTCTCAAACTCATGGTGATCCTCCTGACTCAGCCTCCCAAAGTGCTGGGATTACAGGCCATACTTGTTAATTTTACAATTAACTTTCTATGTGCTTATAAGGTTCTTAGAACATATACTTTTTTTTTCAATAACATAAGCTGCTTTTCTGCCTACTGTTACATCTATGAGATCTGACAATTAAGTTCACGAACTACCCTAGAAAAAGTGCTCCATACCTCATTGCTGAATATCACTATGGTCACCTTCCAAGTCCTCCCCTTGGGAAGCTATGGACCGACGCCAGTGTCTGGACCACCTGTCAAAGCAATTTCGAAACTCTTTATGGAATGGCCATCAGAGCCGTCGTTCTACCCTTGATGTCCTGAATGTCATCAAATGTCTTCCTTTCCATATTTCCTTTATTTTTGGGTAAAGAAAAAGGTCACTGGTGGCCAGACCAGGTGAGGAGGGAGGGAAGGTGTTCCAGTACAGTTTTCTGTACAGTGCTGCCCACGCAAGCGCATGGTGGCAAATTTGTAAACTTTATGAGCAGACCTCCACAAATAATGACGACAGCTCTGATGCCCATTCCAGAAAAAGAGTTCCAAAACTGCTTTGATGGGTGGACAGGGTGCTGGCGTTGGTGCATAGCTTCTCAAGGGGAGGACTTCCAAGGTGACCACAGTGATATCATCAATGAGGAAGGGAGCATTTTTTTTTAGGATGGTTCGAGAACCTAATTGCCAGACCTTGTACACTGTGAAGGGAATAACCAGCCCCCAGTAAGCACTCAACAACATCTGCTGGAGTAACGCGGTCTCCGTGTCTCTGTAGGCTGGTTTCCAATGCTGTTGCAAACGTCTCCCTTAAACAGGAACTAGCATCAACCTCTAATGTCCACACACTGATGAGCCCTGACCAGGACGCCCCACGTGGCCAAGTTTCCGTGTGGCTCCTCTCAGCCTCTTCCTGATGAGGCCTTGGACTGGGCTGGCCTGGGAGCCCAGTTTTAGCAAGAATTCTGTGAGTTGGCTCACCATGAGTCCCCCAGCCTTTGGTATCTAATCACATTTCTCCCTGCCACCCCCATCCTTGGTGACTACCCAGGTTCCTTTTAGTCTTGCTTTGTCACCCAGGCTGCAGTGCAGTGGCACAATCATAGCTCACTGCGGCCTTGAATTCCTGGGCTCAAAGTGTCTTCCTGCCTCAGTCTTCCTGAGTAGCCGGGACTACAGGTACATGCCACCACACCTGGCTAATTAAAAAAAATTTTTTTGAAAAGATGAGGGTCCTGCTATGTCGCCCAGGTTAGTCTCTGACTGCTGGGCTCAAGTGATCCTCACCTCAGCCTCCCAAAGTACTGGGACTACAGGTGTGAACCACCATGCCTGGCCCACCTAATGAAGTTTCATTGCTCTCTAGAACTTTCTTGTGTTCTCTGCAGTGCTGAAGGGTCAAGGAGAGGTTTTTCTTGTCTCTGTGGTTGAAGAATACGGTTTCCCCAGCTTATGGAAGAGAGTCAGAGAGAATAAGGGCCCCATGATTTTTTTTATCACCTCTACAGTGACCTATCATTTATTCAATCTGTCACATTTATTTTCAGTTGTTCTTGCAGCGACATTTCAACGAATAATACAAAAACAAGGCTCAATTCGAAACAACACCCAAACCTCCTAGAAAAAAACACATTCAGTTTATAAAAAGCAGCCCCCTCTGCCTCACAGGCACATGACGGGCATGTGGTGCCCCCGACCTGTACACTGACTCCACAGGACAAGGGCGTACCTGCCACGTCAAACTCGATGTCCAGCGTGACCTTGCTCGTGATGGAGGAGTCTCGGAGCAGCTGGTTGGCTTCCTCGAAGGTGCTGTCTTCAGTCGGAATCCCGTTGATGGCGATCACTCTGTCCCCAATCTGTAGCACCCCGCACCTAGGGCACAGCCACACGCCAGGGGTTGGAAGCGGGTGGGCGCTCACCAAGCCGAGTTGGTTACACCTGCTGGCTGGACCCTCACGCAACAGCCCAACAAGTTGGCCTTGTTTATTCAGGGCTGGGGCCTCACGATGTGTCAGCCTCAGTGCCGTACATGGTGGCATTTCGCGGTTACGATCGTGCCTGAGGGACCTTGATGTGTCCCAGAGAAGTCACGAGAGATTCATAACTATGGGATGGCTGGATTGGATCTGAACCCATGGACACTAATGATGAATGCGTGCCCCCCCACCCTGCAAAGAAATTATCACAGTTTGAACGTCTGACACGTTTTTCATGGGTTTTCTCCTTTATGATGAACATGGCCTCTGGTCTCCCAACAGACAAGAGCTGCTAGATAAAGGCACGCATGCCCGTTATTCTCCTGCCTGCTCGAGAACATTTACGGTCAGGAGAGAGCACATCACGTCTTGCGTGTCCCATATCAGCCATGCCCTGCAACTATCAGCCGTTCCAAGCCCACCGGCCCTGCGCCCAAGGCCCGGCCTCACCTCTCGGCCGGGCTGTCGGCCTCGATGTAGGAGATCAGCGGTGGGGAGGAGAGGGTCTCCGTGGCGAACACACTGCCCTGCAGCTGGATCCCGAAGCCAGTGACGGGGTCGGCGGTCAGCACCACCTCTGTGGTTTCTGTGTGGACCACCTGCCCAGCCAGCCCCACGGTGCTGGAGGCCAAAGACACTGGAGAGACAGACACAACAAAGAATGACTGCGGGGGGGGGCTGGAGCCACCCAAACTTCTTCTCCCTGGTCTTCTGGGAAGAAGTGTAGACAGACACGGCCCAAGACAATGACTCTCCCAGTATCTGTCCCATTCCAATCACAGCAGCAGGGCATCCCTTCCCCACACCCACTCCTCTAATCAAGGCTGTGGTGGGGGACGGCATTAGGGTCAGAGTCTGTGGGTTCTGGTACTGGCTTTTCTGTTGAGTGCCAGTTGGGGGCCTTGGGCCAAGCCAGTTCCTCTCTGTGTGTGCCTGTGTCCTATGAAAGACGAAGGGAGTTGGGGTCGCTGGTCTAATGGTCTCTCCACTTCCACCACCTATGTTAGTGACCCTTAAACAATCTGACCTTCCGCTTTGAAGAAACTATCTTCTATCTATCAATCAATCTATATATCTATATCTATCTCCCCCCCTCCATCTATCTGTATCTATCTATCTATCTCTATCTTCTACTATCTCTATCTGTCTCTATTACCTATCTTCTATCTATCTATCATTATATCTATCTATCATCTATCTATCTTTCAATCTATCCATCCATCCATCCATCCATTCTCTCTCTCTCTCTCTATTTAGTAGAGACAAAGTCTCGCTACATTGCCCAGGTTGGTCTTGAACTCCTGGGCTCAAGCGATGCTCCCACCTCAGCCTCTCAAAGTTCTGGGACTACAAGCATGTGCCACTATGTCTGGCTAATTTTTTTATCTTTATTTTGTAGAGACGAGATCTCACAATGCTGTCCAGGCTGGTCTTCAACTCCCGGACTCCCACGATCCTCCCGCCCCAGACTCCTAAAGGGCTGGGTTTACAGGACTGAGCTAACATGCCTGGCTTTGAAGAAATGATCACTCTAAGTCTGGCCCCTGGAGTGGGAGGCGGTGCCAGTCTTCAGGCTTAGTCTAGCCTTAGGTGGACTTGACGGGGTCACTTCAACTCTGTGTCCTCCTCCTCCCCCCACGTTGGGTCCCTCAGCCCTCGTTCTTTCCGACTGGGTCTCCATCGTGCCTGGGCACCTCCTGTTCCGTTCATTTCTGACACTCGCCCGCGCCTCCAGCCGACAACCCTGTCCTTCCATTCCCAGTCCAGGCAGGGGAAGGATGCAGTCTCTCCACCCCACCCGTGGACCCAGGCCACCCGCCTCTCTGAGCAGCTCTCTGCCTGCAGGCCCCTGGGTTGGACGGCCGCTTCCTCCAGAAAGGGGGTCTCGGCCTTCCACTTGAACCTGAGGACCCCAAACGCTTCAGAGTCCTCTCCTGCCAGAGGCCCTTTCCCCACACCTTGTCTACAAGATGAAGAGAGGCTGACGATCCTCCTGGCTCCTCACCCCACATGAGGCTCGTGTCTCAAACAGCTTCTTGGACCCCGGGCTCTGGGCTCACTTCTGCTTTGCTCACCTTCACACCCTCAATCTCCTGCTCCTTCAAATGCCCCCTTTCCTGGCTGGCGTCGGGACCCAGCTTCAGTGCCCCTCCTCCAACCTGAGCCTTCCCGGCCCTCCGCCTCTGACATCACGGGGAGAACCTTCTCCGCACCAGTTACTCCGATCCCCTCACGTCCACTGTCTGCCACAGAGCCCTAGGCGGGGCCCATCTTCCTTCAACAAGGACAGAGCTCTAAAACCTGCAGAGAAGAGCCCTGCTCGCCGACCACACACCCCTCGTTAGCCGTCTCTCCCACCCCCACATCTAACTTCCTCCTCTTGTTGACTTCTTCCTCATCTCCTAGACAAATAATATTTTTTAGCAACAGATTTCCCCCCCATTCAAATGAAGGCACGTACGAGCTGTCTTTGTATCCCAGATAAAGACAGAGCTTCTGCAGTTGAGGTGGGAAACGGGGGACCCCAGAGGCTCCCCGGCCTCACGAGGGGCTCTGGGGAGGCAGATAGAAGACCACTGTCTTAACCCACTGCCTTGGCTGGTGTCACCTCCCTCTACAGCCCACTTGGGCCATGGGTGACATTTCAGTGGCACATCTGCTGGGATCGTAGTCTCTTAAACTCATGAGGTTCTCGGTACTCTGGTGCTCTGTGCTTCTTGGTGAGGCCCAATCAACTCCCCCGGCTGTTACTGAATTGCAGGAGGGTGCTAGAGAAAGTCACCAGAAATCCACATTCCTCTCTGTGGGGCCCCGAATCCTTTGCCATGTAATATTGTGGCACCTCATTGGATCCTGCAAAGGATCTGCCTCAGATGTTTTTATCCTAATAAGGGTCCGACTCGGCTCTTTATTTCCTGCAAGACTGAGGGACCAGCCATCTGCAAGAGCTCCAAAACCAACTCCCCCACCACCTTGGTTTCTCTGGACCACCTCTGCTCGCCCTTCCTTCCAGCTCAAGGCTAATTCCTCTTGTCTGTGATCCAGACACCATCCCTCTCCACCTCCTCTGTGATTCCGTGCCATAAAAACTTCTCTCTCGCTGTCTTTCCAAACGTTCCCACTCACCCCAGCTCAGGTAGTAGGGAGAAGGCCCAGAAGTTTCAGGAAGAGGAGGTGAAAGGGTTCCCTCCGTGGCACAGCCCTCTGCCCTCCCAGGTCTCAGTGATGTGCCTCAAAGCCACCGGCTTTGTAGACTCATCACTCTCCCTGTGAAACAAACATGGCCCCTCCGTTCAGATCCTCGGAACATGCTGTTCCCAATCGCCTGTCCATCCCCTGTGGTCCACGCCAAAGAATGTTCTAACGCCCGTGTGAGAAGCCGTCATCCCTTTCTGGGCACGGCCTTCCTTTGCACTGCAAGCACCTGTGAGAACCTCCTGTTTCACAAGCCCTGGCTTCAGCTCATCACCAGTACAGCAGAGAGACTTTTTATTACATGTGTGACTTCTGCCACGATTCACCATCCATACGAATGTCCTGGTTGCTATAGAAACCAGAGCATCAGAAGGGGTAGCGAGTGATGGCACAGAATAAAGACATAAATAACGTAGTGGAAAGGGACCAGGGCATCATAGCGTGGCAGTGAGGTTTTATTATCAGTTGTTTGGGGGAGACCTTCACATCTCATGCAACCAGGCCAAGTTTAAGTAGTAAAAAAGGAAATGGAAACAGAACCTCAAGTTTTATTTTAGAATTTGGAATACTACCATTCTTTTTCCAGGTCTTTTTGAAATGGGAAAGACAGCTCACAGCATTTTGGAATTTACTGTCTGATTAACATACAAAATGCATGATCCCCTGAGACACCCATGTAAACACTCTGCCATGTTCCTGGTGAGTGGCGCTCTCTGGCTAATGTCTACAACAAACACAGGCAACCAGAAATTTCTGAACTGGGTTTCTGTGTATATTTCTACTACGCTGGAGAATAATGTGCTGAGTCAAGAGTGGATTCATGAGCTGGTGACACGTATTAGTGACAGTGCCGCCTCTGCTTTGTGCCCCGCTACCCAATTTACCATGTGTAAATATCAGCCCTAGATAGCCAAACACATTTCTGTTCATTTACGCTCATGCACAGCCCTCATCTACACAGCGAGTCTTCCCTGACACAAACCAATGGTGAGCCTTCGAGGTAGAGGACAAAATGTTAATGAATTCACTTTAATTGCTCTTCCCTGCTGAGGGCTGTTAGCCTGTTTCTCTCAGTGATGAGCACCGCACAGAGAGTCATCAGATGTGAAAAATTTCATCCTCAAACAACCACCGCACACCCTGAAGGCGTTCCATGCAAGATTCAAGTATGATGCCAAGTACAACCATTGTGACAAAGGCCTCCATCTGAGGGCAATGTCTCGAGATGTTCACGAGTGACAGTTCAGATTCAGGAACACCACAGCTAACAACTAACTACTCAAGATAGCTAACTAAGTAATGCTTACTGTTTACCAGGTGTGGTTGCCTCACAATTACCCCATGAAGTGAGACCTATGCTTTCCCCAATTTTCAGCCGAGGTATGAAAAGCTTAAGAAACAGGCCCCACAGCTAGACAGTGACAAGGCAGGGACGGAGCCAGGCAGCCCAGTTCTAGAGACTAGACCCCAGACAGCTCACTAGCTTGCCCTCAAGCAGCATCTTCTGAGAGTAGGTCACGTACTCTTGTGTCCGCTGAAAGCCACATGGGACTCAGGGAGCTCCTGTTTCCGTTTTGACTGAACTCCATCTTCCCTCCATTTCCCTAATTTCACATTTACTGTCATTTTCATGACCCACAGATGGCAGAGTTCCTTGGATTTGAAGGTTCACGCAAGTCCAGATCATGCGGAACTGTCGGGGTGGTCCCGTCTTCTGCAATGGATTTCTTTGCAAGAAGATTTCATGTTCCTGTGACGTGCAAAAGCTACTTCCCAGGGCAGGGTAAAGTTGGTCTCTAGCACTTACGGAGACCCCAGGGGCTGCGGAGATGGCTTCCGGGGAGGCAAATCTCTGGCAAACAAGCTGAAGGGCCAGGAGGCCCCACCAGTCGTGAGCAGCCCAGTGTGGTTTTATTTGGGTAACTCAAGGCTATTGCTTAGCTTTATTCCCAGAGAGAGCACAGGAGGAGATCCTAGCTTCTTGTCTCTTTATAGGAATCACAATCTCAACCACCAAAGGGCTATGAGACACTCCTCACATCACTCTAGATTAGTCAGATCTGCTTGGAGAGGTAGGGTGCTCTCTTCTTCTAAAAGTCATGTGCTCATGATGAGAGATGATGAACTTCCCCAACAGAAAAGACAAATCTAGGAGTGCTTTACATTTCCTTCTCTTTAAGGCGTTCACTCGCCCTTTTCTCTTTTTCCTTTTTCTTTTTTTTTGAGTTGGAGTCTCACTCTGTTACCTAGACTGGAGTGCAGTGGCCGCTCCCGGCCACCGCAGCCTCGCCTGCTGGGCTCCGGCGATCCTTCCACCTCAGCCTTCCGAGTAGCTGGAATTACAGGTGCGCGCTACCGTGCCCGGCTGATTTTTTGATTTATTGTAGAGATGAGGTCTCGCTGCCCAGGCGGGTCTCGAACCCGCGGGCTCAGGTAATCCACTCACCTCAGCCTCCCAAAGGCGCGGGATTACAGGCTGAGCCACCGAGCCCGGCTCCTTTTTTCTTTACACTTGCAACCAGCAATCCCCACGCAAGCAGCCAGCCACGCCTTCCTAGTCTTGCTTGGACTGTGTTGGGACTGGGAGTCCAGGCCACAGTTACGAGACTCACAGTTGACATGCGTAGACTTCAGGACACTTGCTGTGCAGAGGAACGTGCTTCCCACCTTCCTGAGGCTGGCTCCCGTGAGACCAGGGACGGCCCATGGGCAGGTCCCTGGGGAAGGACGGGAATCTTGGGGAATGAGGGACAGTTTAAAGGAATGCTCACATTGGTCTTGGCTTTTCTGGAGGGGACCATAAAATACAGGTTAATGTAAATTTTATAAGAATCCCATTAAATGAATGCATGAGAGTCTTACATATATCAAAAGGGGGACATCGTTTTCACAACACTGCTTTCGAGCGAATAAGAAACGAAGAACTAGCCAGGCTCGGTGGCTCAGCCTATAATCCCGCGCCTTTGGGAGGCTGAGGTGAGTGGATTGCCTGAGTCTGCGGGTTCGAGACCCACCTGGGCAACGAGACCTCATTTCTACAATAAATCAAAAAAATCAGCTGGGCATGGTAGCGCATGCCTGTAATTCCAGCTACTTGGAAGGCTGAGGCGGAAGGATCGCCGGAGCCCAGCAGGTCGAGGCTGCGGTGGCCGGGAACGGCCTCTGCACTCCAGTCTGGGTGACAGAGTCAGACTCCAACTCAAAAAAAAAGAAACGAAGAACTGAGAACTAAACTCTGCCGTCTTTCCTTTGTGGTGCCAAATTCCTAACTAAGGGGCCTGGAGAGATAGGTGTGTGTGTTTTCTTTCCTTTTCTTTTTTTTTTTTGAAATTAACTATTTAATGTGATTTACTTTCCAGCCTGGCTCTGGCATAACATCACATAACAGAGAAAGAAGCAAAATCAGAGTATTTCACGACCCTGCAGCGCTGCCTTCTGGGGATTCCCGGGCACCTTTCGTGACTCCCGACCGCTCCAAAGTTCCCCTCCTCTATGTGAAGCTTTGTCAAGAAACTTGGCCTCCCCATCCTTCCTCAAGCTGCTCGTTTCTTTGAAGCTCTCAAAATCCCTTAGATAACTCTAGCTGACTGTCAGCCAGGAAATTTTTGAGCCCACCCACAGCCTGCCCCACCCCACCTCCCTTCAAGATATCCCTTCCAGGATGGAACCAAAGTCAATCTCACATTGACTTAAGGTTTCTCGTGACTTCTGTCCTCCTAAAATGTATATAACCAAGCTACAAGTTCCCAAGCTACAACATATCCTGCTCCCGGGACTTCCTGAGAACGGGTGCCACAGGCCTAAGGACGCTCACATTTGGCTCAGAAGAAACCGTCCCAAATATTTTACAGTCTGTCATCTTTCGTCAACAGAATAAAGATCTCCTATCCAGAGCCACCAGATAAAACAAAGGAGTCTTAGAGGAAGAAATCACATCTTTGATGGTTATGACATCAAATGCATAAGAAAGAAATCTCAAACACAAAGTTGCAAAGGTAGCACGGACAACTTCCGTTCAAGCTTATATTCGGGCAGTCATTGCCACCTGGGTAACAGTGTCACGTCCGTGGTCTTTGGCACAGAGCCATTGGCACCTTGGCACCTGCCGGGTCATCCAGGCCCCGAGCAACCCTCTCCCAGGGCCCACCCGAGCCTCCGAGGCCCCGTGCCTTTCTCCCGCTGCTGACATTCCACTTACATGAGCTTTTGAAGTCCTTCTTCTTCAGCCTCCTCCGAAGCATGGTTCCCCGTGGGCTCGTGGAGTAGAGGCTACGTGGCAGGGTGCTCATGTTCAGGGAGCTCAGGCTGTAGGCGCTCATGGAGGTGGGAGAGAAGGACGAGGATACCACGGCGGCTGGAAGAGACGGAGATGCAGCGCGTGCACTCAGGGGGCAGGAGCGCCACTGGCTGGGGGACACGCGTGAGACGCTGCGGTGGTGTGGCTGAGTGCCCCCAGATGCAGCCAGGGCGGGCATGAGACGGTGCCCATGCCCTGGGACCCTGGAGTCGCCAGAGCCTGCAGGGCCGGGTCGGCAAGGCCCACACGCACACACAGCAGCGTGGAGACTAGGACTGTGGCCTCAGATACGAGCAGACATGGAGACCAGTGTCTCCGCCAACGGCAAGCAGGGCGCCAGACATGCGGTCTCACAGTCTTAGACACTTTCTGACATGAAATTCAGAAGTGACTCCACAAACACAAGAAGACCCGAGGACACCGTCCCCTACGCCGTATCTGCACTATGACATCCTGAGCCACACAGAAGCCTTCTGAGCATCCATTTCCTTTTCTTTTTTTTTTTTGACTTTTGAGTCGGTGTCTCCCTCTGCCGCCCAGGCTGGAGCGCAGTGGCACGATCAAGGCTCACCGCAGCCTTGATCTCCTGGGGCCAGGCGATCCTCCCGCCTCGGCCTCCCGAGTAGCTGGGACCATAGGTGCATGCCACAGTGCCCAGCTAATTTTTTTGTTTTGTAAAGACGAGGTCTCGCTCTATTGCCCAGGCTGGTCTTGAACTCCTGGGCTCAAGCAATCCTCCTGCCTCGGCCTCCCAAAGTGCTGGGATTACAGGCATAAGCCACTGCGCCCGGCCGACATCCCTTCCTAACGACACAAGCTTTCTGTTGGAAAACAAAGACACTCAGGAGTTGTCAGAAATGACAAAAATAAAAAAATAAAAATGAAGCATGCAACACCCATGAAGCCAAAGATGTCATGACTCGGAGAGAGTGAGAAGAAGAGCAGTGGACAAAGACCAGGAGGAGGGAGCCGGGCATACGAGGGCTGCTGGGAGGAGGCGCTCTCGGGGACGGCGTGAGGGCCGGTGTGCGGCAGTGGTCGGGGTGGCAGGTTTGCTGGTGGCTGGGGTGGAGGTTGAACTGGTGGCTGGCCCAGGAGTCCCAGGGAAGTTGCCTGTCGCTCCTCTGGACTTTCACTGCCCACATGGAGTGATGATGAGAAACAAGGAAACAAACAAAAGGAACCAAAGGGGAAAAAAAAGAGGCAAAAGTAACTGAACTGCACAAATGAAAAGTGTCACAAAAACAAAAGCTGCTCGCAAAGAAAAAGACTGACGCGGCTCTGCCCTTTCCTCCGTGTCAGCGGAACCGACGATTGATTAACATCAAGGCCGGCCACTTGCATCTCCCCAGAATCACGCATGCCGTCCCTGGCTCGCTGCCTCTCCCCCCAAGATGACTAGTGAATCAATTTCTAATCTCCCCCTGTGCGGTGCAGCAGAGATGAAAAACATTTTTTTCAACCTAAAAGTCAGTCCCACAGAGATCTATGGCACACAATTAGTAACTAAAGATTTGCAAATCTCTGCAAGTTAGCAGCACCTGCTTTGAGAAAAAGAAGAGCAGGACAAATAAATCACACGGGTCCCCGGTTCGAGCGGTTGACTAGCTCATGTCACAGTTTACTGCCCTGACATTTTAATTGCAGTGCTGTCCGTCCCTCGACTCGACGGTCCCCGACAATAAACTGCTCCAATCACCGTCGGTGTCAGAATCCTATCTGGATCCTGCCTCACGAAGAGAAGACAAAGCCTCTGTATTTTAGGGTTATTTCATTTTATTTTTGTATTTTAAGGACGTGGGGTACAATTCAGGGTTAGGGATACAAATGGTCATTGTACAGGTAAAGTTTGGGCCTCGCTTTGGTCCCCGCTTTGCCTGATTTGAGATCAGCTACCCTAATTGATGAAGTGTGCCCACCCTTCCCTGGCAGTTTCCCACTATTGCCAATTGCTTTCTGATAGCAGTACGGTAAATGCTCACAATACCACATGACTGGGATGAGGAATGGAAAAGGGGTTCAACAAATAATGTGAGCCAGAGGACACAGTGCACCCACCCCTGATACTTGGTGCCCCACATCTAATGGGTCGTATAGTCATCTACCCGACACTCAGCACACCCACATCTACTCGGCTGTAGAGTGTATCTGGCACTCAGATGCTGGGCAGGTATCTCAGGAGTTTAATGACGAGGTGCACACCTGGTGTGTGCTTTCATTCTGCCAAGCGCCCTGACAGATTTCCTCTCAATCTGCCCAGACAGCAGCCTGCTGTCACCGGGTGCCGATCGTAAACCTGGACCTGTGCCGGCTGCTTTTTTATGGATTCTCTCGGAGAATGCTCACAGCGCTCCTTTGGGGTAGGGTCTTGTTATCATCCCATTTTACAGATGAAGTAACAGCTGTAGAAAGCTGGGTAGCTTGCTGAAGGCTCCAGGCGGTGGAGCCAGACGGCAGCCCCGGGAATGTGATTCTGGAGTTCCCACTCAGCTGCCGGACAACACTGCCTCTTGCTGGGTGTTCCGGAGTCTCTTGTTATGGGCGCATAAAGAGCACATGAGGAAGAGACAACCTGTCGTAGCATCTCCTGGTGACCACACCGCTGTGGTCTTCAGAGGCACGGGGCTCGGAGGCGCCTTTTCCTTGTTCCCCTGTCTCCTTGCAACCTCTTGCCCTGCCTGGGGCATTCAAGAAAGAGGCAGTGCTCCAATGGAAGGGCTTTCTGGTACAGAATGATCCAACCAGTGACTCTGGTCACATTCTCCCTCCAGAAATCTGTTTTCTTCTGTCATGATTATGTTTCCCAAAGACCCTGAGTGGCCACAATTCTGGCCTCACTGAAACACACTTTTGTCCAGGCACGGTGGCTCATGCCTGTAATCCCAGCACATCAAGAGGCCAAAGCAGGAGGACTGCCTGGGCCCAGGGGTTCAAGATCAGGCTGGGCAACTTGGCAAGACCTCATCTCTACAAAAAAAAAATTAGCTGGGTGTGGTGGCATGCGCCTACAGTCCCAGTTACTCAAGAGACTGAGGTGGAATCTCCTGTCTCGGAGGCCGAGGCTGTGGTGAGTCAGGATCGTGCCACTGCACGCCAGCCTGGGCGACTGAGTGAGAACCCAACTCAAGCAAAGCAACACACACACACTCACTGTTCACCAGCAGAAGGCACAGCTCTTCCCTTGCTCTGAGCTGACACATCCATCCTACGTCGTCCTGATGAGCCTGTGGTGAGACGCTTGCTGCTAGTAAGCCTGGGAGATGCTGCGTTTCTCACCCCTGGGACAAGACACACGCTGCACAGGTGCCGGAGAGCTTGAAAAATAGCCAGAACTTTCCGTGGATAAAAGGTAAAACTATGGGAAATCCCACCAATATGAAAGTTGGAGTCTCAGGATTGTGAAGACAATAAAAATTGTGTGCATTTTTTTCCTTCTTGTGATTTGACCATATTTAGGAGTCAATATTTACTTTTTCTTGGAGGTGAAATCAGGCTCACATCTGTTTTTCACGTGAGGTTCAACCATGAGGTTCGGGAACCATCCTAGAAAAAGTGCTCCTGACCTCGTTGCTGAATATCACTCTGGTCGAAGTCCTCCCTTTGGGAAGCTACACATCGATGCCAGCGCCTCATCTGCCCATCAAAGCAATTTTGGAACTCTCTTTCTGGAATGGCCATCAGGGCCGTCGTCATTGTTTGTTGAGGTCAGACCATTAAGTTCACGAACTTGCCACCGTGCACTTACGCTGGTAGCACTATACAAATAACTATTGGAACACCCTCCCTCCTCACCTGATCTGGCTCTCAATGACTTTTTTCCTTACCCAAAGGTACAGGAAATGTGGAAAGGAAGACATTTGATGACATTCAGGGAAATACGACGACGGCTCTGATGGCCATCCCAGAAAAAGAGTTCCAACATTGTTTTGACAGGCGGACTAGGCACTGGCGTCAGTGCGTAACTTCCCAAGGGGAGGACTTTGAAGGCAACCTCAGTGTTGTTCAGCCATGAGGTATAGAGCACTCCTAGGATGAGTTTGCAGACCTAGTATACGCTGGGTAGGGGAGGCAGGGGAGAGCTTTCAGCACAAACAGACGACAGGGTCTGAGGCAGAAGCTAGGATGACTTCAGCCGTCCACTTGCTGTCCCTCGGACATGTGACATCAGGGTTTCCTCCGTGGAGATAGGAAATCTGTTCTTGGTCCTTCCATGTGGCATATAAATTAATCTTCTCAAATTACCTTGCAGGTAAAAACACCCCGGTGGGGGCGGGTGTGTGTGGAAAAAAACCAAAAACCAAAAACACCTCATATTTCATGAGTTGCAAACATGCGAGTGATCTGTGACTTATACACAGGGCAAATGAAAGGGACATAAGCGAGGGTGGTAAAGACGGTCACATGTTAAAAGTTGTTAAATTTCTGATTTGCTGACCCCAGAATTTAGGGAGCAAAATCTCCCTCTGGACAGGCGCTGTTCGGCGTGCGCTCTTTGACCTGCTGCGCTCCGGATCCCGCGATGACCTTGTGCTGATCTGGACACCCTTGAGCAACCCCTGCAAATCCCACGGCCGGTGGGGACAGCCCAGGCGCCTTCCGGCTGGCTCCTTCCAGGAGCTCTCCGTGCTCTCTGCAAACGCTCCGGTGTGGCTTCCTTCCATAACTGGCCTGGACAGCATCACTCCCTGGTTCGTGGGTACAATTAAGATCTGACCAGGGCAGCGCTGTCCTGGAGGTTTTCATCAGCCCCAAGGCTACCTAAGCTCCATTTAATGAAAAAGGCTGCTTCCAGCTGGCTCACTTGGTAGCAAGGTTATCTGGCCCCACTTTTCTCCTCCCTCCCCCCACCGCTGTGTATAAGCACCGTGCGTTTTAGGGGCAGACACAACACAAATGACCTCTTCACGAGCGTACTCGTCATTCCTGAGAAGACGACCCATTTCCAAGCACGCAGAGATACACCCTCCTCCCTCGGACCGCCCCGACCCCCCCCCCCCCCCGC